AGGGTAGTGATGACAAAGACATCTGCTAATAAAGCAGAATAATATTACATCCTCTAGCACAAGGACCTGACCCAAGAATCTGGTGAGAATGCAGAATTACAATATTATTCACTGACACTAGACTAGTGATGACCCTTGCTTTCTTAGACTGTCGGTAGTTCTAGCCCGACAGTGTAATCGACTTGTGGACAATCCAATTTATAAAATTCACAAATATAATGACAAGACAATTGCATTTTTTACAACATCAATATTTTGATTGCTAAATAAAAATCTATTTTGCATACATGAATGAAAAACAATGAATTTTGAATATACAATTTAAATGTTCACTTGTCAGTTACATGTACTGGGTCAAGAATTGCTCTCCTTCGAATGTTGGGTTTTATACACGTGCATGACCGATGGTTACCTACGGAATCCTTCGGGAATGATAAATCTAAGCATATCCTGAATCTGATTTCTTATGGTCCCCACTTCAATATTTCACGTATGTGCCACCCAGTCTGCTCTACATTCTTGTGTTTTCTTTATGTTGTTAGTTAATTCTTTGTATATATATGCATGATATGTATAATATTAACCCTTTTGCAGCAAAGGCAGGAACCCCAAATATGCACTATATATTTCCTTTACTGTAGTCATTATTTTTATTGTACTTTACAACATGCTTACTTGTACATATTTTAATACATCTGCAAAACTTTTAGAGAAGAGAGCAATAGACTAGTTGTTAAGAAGGTATACTACAACAGGCCTTGAGACCCAACAATAATTACTCATGCAAATAAAAAACAAAAACCCTACGCCTGGAGTCTCCATCAGCAAGGAGCTTGGAGCAAGCTTCGTAAGCAGCACGACGACGATACACACCGACCACGAGAAAGCAAAACGCGAAACAGATATACACCAGTTAAACCATTCCTTAATTTTAAACAACAAATTTATAGGACATCGAGGTTGTCCGCCTAGTGCGATATAAATCATCACTTTTCTCTTTAGACTTTTGCACAACCATGTGGTGCAATATAAGTCTCAACCCTTTTAGGATTCTGAGGTCGTCATTCGGTACGACGTAAGCCCTCCTATCTTCATAAGCAATTTGCGCAATTGAGTATTGTGCACATGTAAGTCCTAAATAATAAAAGTGACAATATTGAAACAACAATAAATATCATTTCTAAAACATAAAGCAAAACGATATGATAATTTGGAAAGTTACCGAGATTTTCCGCTGATCTGTGACATCCCTTACCTTTCACTCTTTTTGCTCCCGAAAATAACTGTTTCCTACTTGAATCATTCTCATTTGACTTTCCATGTCCAATCTTGAACAACCTAAACTTTGAAATTTTAAAAACAGAACCACTAATATTAATCGAGAGTTTTCTTAAGTTACTTTCGTCATTTGAGATGTAATAAACTATAGTAGTTTGTCTCTATAGAGAGCTTGAAACCCAAATAAAATAAATACTATTTAATATTTATATTAGATAGGGGAACTTGTCGGTTATACAAAAAAAAAATTTCTCAAACCAAATAGATATCATAAACTCCTTTGTTTAAATGGTTGAGTCTACTAATAAGTGATATGTTTATCCCTCGGAGTAGTGTATTATTTGCAGTATCATGCTCAACCATCTAAACTATTAAATGTATGAGATCTGTTCGGTCTCAAATTTTTTTCAAAATTAAAATACTATTTTCCAAATCAAAATTATATATATTAAATTAAATTTATTTTATTTTAGAAAGAGGCCGACCAAAATTCTGGCCACAGGAAGCTCCTACCGAACATTTACAGGAAGATGTACCTTGGTTAATGCTTTTTGTTGATGATATCTTTCTCATGGATAAGACGAGAGAGAAAGCTCAGGAAAAACTTGAACTATTTAGGTCTACATTGGAGCCTAAAGGCCTTCGTTTGAGTTGACTAAACTTGACTACATGGAATGTAAATTTAGTAGTAGTAGCTCTAGTGACAAAATTGTAACTATGGGTGATAAATTATTAAAAGTTGTGAGCGCTTTAGATATCTCGGGTCTATTGTTCAATGTGATGGTGATATAGATGGGGATGTTATTAATAGAACTCAAGTTGGTTGGTTGAAGTGGAGAAATGCTTCGGGCTTATTATGTGATAGAAAAGTATCGTTTAGACTGAAAGGAAAATTTTATAAGATGGTGTCGAGACATGCAATGCTCTATGGTTCTAAATGTTGACCTTTAAAAGAGAATTAAAAAACTAAGTTAAGTGTCCGTTTCGACTGAAAGGAAAATTTTATAAGATGGTGGCGAGACATGCAATGCTCTATGGTTCTAAATGTTGACCTTTAAGAGAGAATTAAAAAACTAAGTTAAGTGTTGTCGAGATGAGAATGATTAGGTGCAGGAGTGGCTTTACACTTTGAGACAACATGCGAAATGAATATATCTGGGATGGGGTTGGTGTAGCTCCAGTGACGAACAAAATTAGAGAGTCGTCTTAGATGGTTTGGCATATTAAACATCGACCATCTGATGATCTGACTAGGCAAGTGGATCTTTTAGATCCGAGTTATCTCAAGAAAGGTAGGAGTATACCTAGAAGGACTTGGGCATATTCTATAAAAATGATCTTAATTTATTAAAAATAGGAGTATACCTAGGACTTAGGCATATTCTATAAAAATGATCTTAATTTATTAAAATTAAATGAAAATATGACACTCAATAGGACGCAATGGAGAAAATTGATTTATGTAGTTGAACCCACTTAGTGGGATAAAGGTTTACAGTTGTTATTGTTGGTCCTGTAACAATTACACAAATATTGAATGATATTTGTATGTTATTGATATAACATTCATTAAAAAGCATATCAAATGTTTATATCGATTTATTAAAATGTTTAACTGACATGCATATTATGTTTTTTTTTCTATTATATAATTACTCACCAACTTGTTTAGTTCACTGTTATTTTTAATCTAACTTTTCAGGTTAATTTATTTGATAAGATGAACGATAAAAAAAAACATTTATAGAAAACGCGAACAATGAGTAATGAGGGAAACATAAATATATTGTTTTAATATAATTTAATTAGTGACTCATTAATTTGTTATATGGTATATGAATATAAAAAATTTAATTCACACCGTCTGACTGTCTATTCTGGTCGTTAATTCCAAACCCCAGACTGGATCGTAGTCATATATTAAAATCAACATCCCTAAGAGCATCGATGCAATTACAAGTCTATAGAAAGCTAAAATTTTGTTGCTTCACTACAAGTGTCTGGCACGCAAACAATAAAATCTGTCCATTAAAATGTTCCATCTTTTCCATGGCATATAAATAAATAAGACCTTCATAGCGTGACAATGTAGACAAGTAGACAAAAAAATGAACAAAGAGAGAATTTGAACGAGAAAGAACTAAAAGTTGAAGAGAGCACAAATTTAAACAAAGAGCTCATGCATTGGTAAAATGTAAAAGGTTGTATACAATAAAAACTTATAAAAATGTAATGATGAGGACATAATAACCACAGGTGACAACACTCTTCCACCATCGTAGAAATTTAAGTTCATTCATTTATAGGGTTTCTTTAGTAAAAATAATTAAGTTGGTTAACAATTTACTATCAGATTATTAACAGATTGTAAGCAGATTATCAGCAATTTATTTGTTGTTTGCAAATAGTTTGTTAGTAGATTGTTATTGATAAACATGAGAATTATGAGTAATAAACAACAAGTTTATAGCATGAGTAAAATTCTTATTTTAGGTGTAGAGACCCACCTTCTTCAAATATTATTGAATTTTAATCATTGATTTTGTGAGGCATGAAACCCTTACAAGAAAGATAATTCCTTGTTTAAGCATAAAGATTGGTTATGTTCTATTATTTACTCTTTCTATCTTTTCCTTCCGCCTTCTTATCATTCAAAATTTTTTCAGTCATTTTACATCAAATTTATATAAAAACAAAGTTGACTTAACTAATTTGATATGTATGATTTCAATATTGATAACATATTTCATTAAAGTGTTGACATATTTCATTACTATCTTTAAATTTTGCCAAAAATCATTTTAATTTTCGTTTCCTATTAATTAGCATTCACGAAACTATTAACTATTGTTCAACTTAACAATAAGCACACTTAAACAACATATTTTCTACCTCATCCAGCCCATTCTCTCACCTTAAACAACTAATCACAAAACTCAGCTAACCTCCACATAATAGCCCTATTCAAATTTAAATTTGAGTTCTAACTCCTAAAAAACTTTCTTTTAGTCTTCTGAATCCCTCCTTGGATTTCTCCAACAAACTAAAAACAAGTCTTAAGAATATAGATGTAAATCTACCCTCACTAAATTATGGCCAACCTTATTCCACTCCCAGCACAAGAAAAAGTAGGAACCAAAGGAAAAAAAAAATAAAGAAATAAAGATGGGTCTTGAAATGAACTTTATGAGAGCTTGTTATTGAGTCTAAGGATAAAAGTGATCCAATGGGGTCATCGACACAAACTAGCAAATGAAATCAAGATGACAAATAACATATCTCTTAATATAAAATTTGCAGTGAAGGCTAGTTGGAAGCTTAACAATTTCATTAATCAGATATCATGGCTCTATCATTCAGCAATAGTCCTCAAACCTCAAGAAGATCAAACTAGCATGTCCCTATTTACTCATATATTAAGATTATGACAGGCTGTTAAGCCTTCCAACTTCATTCATAAAAAAACTTCTGCATATCATACACCATGCTCTGTAAGTCAGACTTACTCCTGAAACCAAAGTAAGCTCAACTAACACGTCCCTAGTTATTGTAATTGTACAAGAGCAGCCATTTTCAAGCAGATCCAGGCACACCCCAACAAGATAAAACCTACTGCAATTCCAGATCATTTGCAATGGAAATAATAAGTCATGAACAGCAATAACTATCAAAAAAGCAGAAAATTGATCAAGCAGGATGCCAAGGACAGGATAATCTCCTACCAGACTATTGCAATTGATGCATCTTTTATTAGAAGGATGCTTAAGCAGCCCTCTGATGATTTTCTCGTTCTTCTCTTCTTCTTTAATCCGGTTCGCCATCCTCCTCCTCAATTTTTCTGTCGCTTCGTTCAATTCTTCCAACTAACACCTAGATCCAAACCTAAATTTAAAAAAAGGAACATACAAGCCAGCAAATATCTTCACGACGCGGACAAATGAATTGAAGCCAGAGAAAATGGAAGCCAAATAAGAAGGAGGAGAACATCACCAACGGGTTCTAGCTCGAGGAAGAAGCTGGCGAGAGCGAGAAGGAGCCCAATTCGTGTATGGAGATCCAAGCCAAGTATATGCAAATCTAGTTCCTATGCTAGGGTTGTGCAATATAATGGAGGCCCAACCTTCACTTCCTTTGATCTTCTAGAGAGTCTGTCGCTCTCCGTTGGAAGAACATGCGCCGCCGGTTTAGCCGGGGGGACGAAGGACCTTTCCGGAGGGAGAAAAGTACCGGAGCAGAGTCAAGATTACAAAATTACCAGCATAGATTTGGTGGTAACCGGGGGTGTTTTGGGAATCGCTATGGGGAGGGGCTGTCGGCGTAAATTGTGGGAATCTCTGGATTCGCCTTGCGGATCGGAGGAAGGTTAGAACGATAAAAGTCGGACATGGTTTGCGAAGTTTCAATTTCATTTTGTGTTTGCTGAAATTGTAAAAGAAAATTTCAAATTTGATTCAATGCTAAATATTGACTGCGCAAAACAACATCTGATTGCCTCTAAAATAAATAGTCACTGTAAAATGAATAACTAACTAGTTTATAATTGAAACAAAAGATGAGACCAACAGAAGAAGTTTTTGATGACTTTATTCTAAGTTGGCAAGTAGCTTTAAATATTTTAGGGAACTCTTTGGCCAAGTTCTCAAGATGACCTTTGTTTTTAATAATTGAGTTGCTTCAAGAGTTGAGGATGTGTGATGACTTCGATTTTCAAGTTTATAGTGAGTAGATTACTCCTCTTCATAACCTCATCTAACTAGTTGATTGAATCGATAAATAAAAATTTTGCGACTTGATTAACTTGGTCGAATGATATTGTGTGCATTAATTTCCTTTTTGTTAGATCTCTTAAGTAAGGACCAAGAAAAAATGAATAAATTTGTATGCCTCATTCCATCTAAGGGATCTTAGACTTACCGTATCTCATATATTTTTAATTTGATAAATGTTCAACAAGTTGATTACTTAATGTCTATAAAACGCTTCAAGGTTGCTTTAAAATTTATCCATTTGTCCTTAAATTATACTATGGCTTTAAAGATATGGATAAGCTTATATATTAATTTAGCAAATAAATTGATAGAATGCTATTAGAGAGCTTCTATGAAAGAAGAAGCGTAATGCTATTAATGAATATGGGTAGATTGTAAAACAATAATAAATTTTAAAAAAACTGATGTTAAGAGTTAGTGATCTTTTTCATACAAATATTTTTTTAAAAAAAAGTAAGAAAGATATAAGTTGTTATTTTGCATTGCCAATGTCTTCCATAATTGAGCAATCAAGCAAGTTCTTTATGATATAAGTTGAATTTTCACTGAGTGTTCATAGTTTCATGAAATTTCGCAATAACACTAATAAGTTTTTAAGAAACAAATATTAAAAGTATGAAATCTTCTTCATTCAAACATTTAAAAAAAAAATCAGAAAGATAAAAGTTATTATTTTGCATTGCCAATCTCTTCCATAGTTGAGCAATCAAGCAAGCTCCTCAATGATATAAGTTGAAAATGATAATGAACTCAATCATGGGGTATTTACTAAGGTAAAGTGTAGATATTTAAAAATGATAATGAATTCAATCATATGTTTAAGACTCAAGTTATATAACCATTTATAGGATAGACCTTATAACCGCATGTTTTGTCATGTAATTGTAAAAATCATGTCTTGAGCATTTCTTAACACAAAGATAAAGAACATGAAAGGTAAATAGAAGAAGAATAGGATTTAATTTACTAGTTCCACTTGAAAAATGGGAAGTTAAAATATATATTGGATGTAATATCCTATAAGTGATAATGAATAAACACTTGTAATATGCTCTTGTTGACCTCATTTTTGGTTGAGGTCTAGAAATTGTAATAAGTTCTCTAACCATAAAAAATAATAGAATAATCTCATATTAGTTTTGATTTTCTTATTATGCCTTGGTGGGAAAAAGTAAGTTGTGAGGTTATTTACGATGACCTCAGTTCAAAAACATGAAATGTGATTTCATATTATTAGAGTGTTCCATGTTAATATTGTTGTAATGAGTATAATAAAAATCAAAGCAAAATGGAGAAGCACATTGAAGTGAAATGTGAGGCCCAAGTATTTGAAACTACGAAAGTGTTTCATAATATGCATTTATTGATGAATCAGGAAAATAGGATTGCTTAATGAATGAATGATTTATGATAAGATATAATACGTCTGGGGCCCTACAAAATGATGAAGATGCACGTTGGTGGTTAGAAGTTTGAAGATGACTGAAATATAATGTGTAGGCTGGGCATAATTTAAAAAAAAAGGAAAAACGATATAATAAAGAAAAGAAAACTAAGTTGAGACTAGTATTAAGAGATTTAAGGAAGAAAAATAAATTATAAGGAAATGGATTGCACCTGTACTTCTTATTTTTGGATAACATTTCTTCTTTAACATTTATAAAATAAGTGGCGGATAGAGTGATATGTCAACTATGAGATGAATAAAAATTTGTCTAAGAAAGAAAATTTGTGAGTTTTGCAGTCTTATGAAACTTTCAAATAACAAGTAATCATATAGAATAATGACGAGCTTTGATTTTAAATGAGTTTAGATGCATTAACAGTTGAAAGGGGAATCAAAAGCTGGCAGTCAACTTTCTCTCTTTGATTATTAATTAGACAAATATAATGTGGTACTTTAAATAAGTTATTTTCTTTAAGATTCATGTTATAGATGTACTGTGTGTCTATGGCACTTTATAAATTTCCACTATTTTGTGCAAGTCTGCTATGTTTTTATGGATGCCTATTAGAGTTGGCATAAGATTTTTGGCATTTTATGTGATTTTTCTTTTCTAATCAAAAGTCTAAGATATAAAAAAAAAAACTATTACGCATAAGGTTATAACATTGAAAGAGGTGCTTATATTGTGATTTAGAAATTAAATTGTATTTTTTGATGGATAGTTTTTTTTTTTGTTGAGATGCACAAATTTATAGGATTGACACTATAGAGATTCATCCTATTTGTGATGGTCAAAAGCCTTCGGTAAATATAAAAAAACCACCAGTTAATGATAAACTAACACTTTTTATGGTGAAAAGGGTGCAGCTTTTCAGCTTGTGGATAATCTAAGGAATGAGTACATTGCCGACGGCATTTATTGTCTGAAAACTTATCGACAACCATAATCAATGGATTTATGTTCAAAGCATAAATGTCGGTTAGCGATCAGTTATTTGTTTGTTACACAACAGATGAGCTAAGACCATTGGTTTATGTAAAAAGCATAATCGTTGGTTAACCATGAGTTAAAAACTAGTGGTCACAAAATATCAATTCATACAAAAGAAATAATGCATCGGTTGCTCTCGGTTAAATTCATAGGTTTAGTAACTGACGTGATTTAGGTGATCAGTAGCCTGTCGCTTGATCGTTAGTTTTCCTTCTATCAAATAACCCATGGTTCGCATATATCAATTCATAAAAAGAAAATAATGATAATATATTGTTTGCCAGTCATAAAGCTGTTGAAAAATCACAGATAAAAAAATAAGTAGCATTCTTTCACATTACAATTTTCACACATACAATTCTAAAATAGTTACATATTTAATTATTTATCATTAATTTACCAATTCAAGTAAATTTGAAACTAAAATCAATTGAAAGAACACACAAATGAAATACAGAAATGACCATAATGCACTGAAACAAAGAATTAAAATGTTTGTACTTAAGAATAGCATGTTCGGATGTCTCATAAAACAAAAATAAATTAAGTTAATCCTAGTTCTCTTCTGTCCCCTCGTTATGCTCCTCCTTGATGTCATCCTCTATTATTTTTTTCCATTGGTGGGCCTAATGTCATAGTGCATCTATTTATGTTTTCAATTAAGCTTCCAATTCATAGTTCATCTAAGAGAACTATGTAGCATATTGGTTTTCAATATCAGTACTAAATACAAGAAGTTGCCTAAGAACGTCATCCTTTTACATGGTAGAAGTAGGTGCACCAAATGTGTGAGAGGAATGATTAGCATCGTAAGCTTGTGCATACAAACTTAATCCATAATCCTTCCATTATTTTTCTTCTAGTAGCCTCTCTCCACAACCTATAGCCTGACTGATCATGGATGGTAAGTCCTCCTATGCACTATGTCCAGTTCTCTTTCACATGCTAGAAGGTTTCCAACAAAAAACTTTATTGAAGAAAGTTATAGGAAAAATTAAATTCAATAATAATTTGAATTGTATAACAATTACTCTTGTCATTTACATGTTTCACATGAGATTAATTGTCAACCCACGTATGGTCAGATTGTTGCTTATGGGTATGTGCATATAAATCAACAAAGGTGAGCTCTCATCCTAACTCGACAATCTATTAAGGTGAGAAAATAGTTAGTAAAATTTTATTTTACAATAAGCATTATTGCAAAAATTAACATTACCTCCTCTTATTGCAATAATATTCTTAGAGGTGTCTATGCCCCAACAATCAGAATTCTATATATTCTTAACATGTTGACTCTTATTTTTGGTATTTTTTTTATTCCTATCTTTGAGATATGCATCAAACATATCCTTCACAAGCCAAAATAGGGCGTTGAAGTGTCTTTTGTATATCCCCAAACATGTCGCGAAGCCAATCCTCCCTTTATTCTTGAAGCTCCTCCTGATGTGTGCATTGTGCTAGGTGAGAACTACTTCTACAAAATAAATTTAAATATGTTAGATTGATAAAATTATACATAACTTAAGATTAATGTTTTGGGTATACCCCAAATGCTTTGAAACACATGTCCTGAACTGTTATCAAGATCTCTTTTCATGATAGGTGCGGAGTGTCATACTTGCTCAATATGATATCTTTAATAGTATGAACAACCTGTGTGGAGAGATAAAATCTAAAAAGAATATATACTTAATTTTATATTAAATCAAATTAACACTATTATGACTTTTTAAAAAGACATATATATCCCCAACTTGCTCTAACTTAAAAGTATGGCTAATGCTGTCCGAACTACTTCGATCAGCAATAGCAGTAGGACCCTCGGCCTAGGTAAAAGGACCTACAACAGTAATTGGTGGTAGTGCTTGTATGGGGGGAAATGAGGACGTGTAAGATGCGGTGTGTGGTGACATTGACAACGTCGAGGTTATTTCCTATGTGAAGATATCAAAAGCAACGATGGGCTTGGCAGAGAGTGACAAAGAAGTGCATGTCTCCACAGTAGTGTTGTCTCATTGTCTGACAAGGGCTTTCCTATGAAGCTGACCCTGATAGTATTTCTATGCAGATCATTTTCATGCAATCTATAAATTACTAGCACTAAAAATAAAAGTCTAAATTAAAAAATAGAATGTCAAACTGTAAAGTATAATCTATAAACTATCACAATTGAAAATATTAA